TCAGTCTGAATCATCCGCACCTATGTAAAGAGTCAGGCATGTATGTACATGCCTGTAACCCCAGCATCTGGGGGTGGGGGTGGAAAGAAGGAGATCCAAAGAAACAGCGAGCTTCCAGTCCAGGGAGAGATCCTCTCTCAAGACAATAAAATGGAGAGTGACAGGAAGACAATCAGTGCTCTACTCTGGTCTCTGGATGCACATGCACACTTGGCATGTGTCACACATCCATACACCACACATACCGTAAATAAGTAACTCACACAATAAGTATAGACTTAAAACAGTTTCTTCAAAGCCAGGCATGGTGAGACACACTTGTAATCTCAGCACTCAAAAGGCAGAAGAATCAGGAGTTCAAGGCTGGCCTTGGCTACCTACTGAGTTTGAGCTATGTTCTTGTGCTTTATCTACCAAACATGACCCAACTCTTCTTACCACAGTTTACTGTGGACCCTCAAGAGTAAAATATTAGTATCCTCTTCCACACTCTGATACTCCCTCTTCTGCGGTCTTACAAGTAAAACTAAACTTCCTTCTGATGACTACCCTGACACAAGAGACCAATATGGACTGTGCTAGGCACAGTGATACATGCCTAAAATCTCATCACTCAGGAGGCTGGAGCAGGAATATCTCAATAAGCATGCATACACACACACACACACACACACATACACAAAGCTGAAATGATACATAGACTGGCAGGTATTTGTCCACATGTATGCACAGACAAACCAACAGACCATGGAAGACCATTTGCTTCAAAGGAACAACATCATTGCCTTTCAGATACTGACAAGTATTTCACCAGGTTCCTAGTAAGAATTAGGAGTAATAGGCTAAGTGGCTAAGAGCACTGGCTGCTCTTCCAGAGGACCTGGGTTCAATTTCCAGCACCCACATGGCAGCTCATAACTGTCTGTAACTCCAGTTCCAGAGGATCTAACACTCTCACACAGACATACATGCAGGCAAAATACCAATGTACACAAAATAAAAAATAATAAATAAATAATTAAAAAAATAACTAGGAGTAACATTGCAATCATACTCAATATTATTTATACTTTGCTTATCTATAGATATACATATTCGATTTTGTGATAGTTTATCATATAGTTCAGTCATGTTCAACTATATTGATGTATTGCAAAAGCAGAAGTCAAACAAAAATCCAGCCCCACAGACATACAGATACAGGGTAAATCTAAAGATGTGATACCCAGGAAGAGCTATGTCACACAGATGACGTACAGGACTTCCCTGTTTACATGTTGCCTACTCCCCAGCCAGCGCTATTAGATTAGCCATTCATTTTTATGAGGGACTAAGTCACTGGTGGTATCAGGTGAGTGTGCTGGACGGAAGAGCTGAAAAGTTTCCCATTTCACTTCTTTCCTCTTGATTAGCAGCACACAGTGCAGTTCAGATGCTGGGTGCAAGTCTTCCTGTTCCAAGGGAGGCATGTAACTTTCTCAGCCCCGTTTTTTTCATTTGAAATTAGAAATTATAAGGGTGGCTAGTGTACATGGCTAGGGCAAAAGGAATCTATAATTGTTAGATTTTACTGCAATGCCTAACATATAGTCAACTCTAAATAAATGTCTGGTGTTGTTGGGTAGTTTTAATTTTGAAACATTTCAAATATATAATCTTCCTTATAGAACTGATGCAAATGTTTTGAAAAGAATATTTGTAAGTCCTTAAATAACACCCAAGAGTTTACGTGTTTCTCCTCTCAAAAAAAAAAAAAATGTTACCAGTCAACCTTTCACAGACTTTTCAGAAACTTTCCATTTTACTGCAATTAGAAACCAAGAAATTGCCTTGGCTTTACTACGAAATTAATATGCCATGACTAAAGTGTTATACAACGTGTCTCTTTCAGCGATGAATAAGCTGAAAATGATTGGCCCAAGTCACAAAGAGTTTATAAGAAAGGAAAAAAATAGGCTGGCTGAGTCTTAGTAAATCATCATCACATGAAATTCTCAGACTATATATAGCTACTTACATTCAAATGATCACAGATGCAGTATGTACACTGTAACATTAGTCCTTATTTGTTCTAGAAAAGTTACTATTATTAAGACCTAGCTTAAATGAAGTGGTTACAAATATTTTCCAAATCTTCAAATCTGCATTGGCTAAAGAGCAAAAGACAAAATGATTTACTCACTAGAGTAAGAAAATAGTCTGAATCCCAATGTCTACATTTTCATTTCCATTCTACCACTAATAACCTAGCCACTTGGTTATTATTGGAAGTTAACCTTCCTGGATAACTGGTTTAAACTGAAAGTGAGACAGGATAGTAACTGCTAAAGTCCTTCACTTGGAGAGAGCACATGAAAGAAGTCATTAATTTAAGAATAACATTTATCCCCATATCCTTACTCTGTAACTTCTAGTTTTTTATCCTTGAGAAAATTTCTTGAAATAAAATTTCATTGGACTTTTCAGTGAAAAGCAAATGAAATAAAACATGCAAATCCCAAGCATGTAGGAAGTTGTAGAGAATTCATTTTTCCTGTTAAACTTACATTTTTCTTTTCTTTTTGTAAGGGCTCAACAGTTTTCTCTTTGGATTTGACTTCAATCATATTAATCAAACCTCCCTCTCCCTCCTCCCCCTCTCTCCCCCCTCCCTCCCTCCCAATACACATACTGCCCATGTGTTTGTGTGTGTCTGTGTGTGTGTGTGTCTGTGTGTGTCACGCGCGTGCTTTCTCTTCATTCTGAACAAAAGTCATTTATAAAACAAAATTACGTTATTTATAGTATTTGTACGAAGATAGTTCTGTATGTTTTCTGTGCGAGGTGGCTCTTCCTAGGTGTCCTGATCTTTAGATTTATCCAAACTTCTGCTTTTGCAGTATATTAATTTAGTTGAACATGGCAGAACTATATAATAAACTAAGTGGATATGTGTTATCTAGATAAACAAAGTGAGGATGACTGTAATGCTACTCCTAATTCTTCCCAGAACCTGGTGAAATCTTTGTCAGTATATGAAAGACAGTGATACTGTTCCTTTGAAACAAATGGTCTGCCGGGGTAAATACCAGGCGTATAGATTTCCCCCTCCTATTGTCCACAGCTCCTGGCATTTGAAGCTTGAACATCCTGCTTATGGTATTGCAGCCCGCCCAGCCCGCCCAGCCCCCGACCTTCTGAACCCCTGAGCAGGGACGAGGTCCCAAACCAAAGGTTCTATTAATTGTAGTTAGAGAACTCATGAAAAGAGGGACGGAATGAGTGCTGGTACATCTGGAAGGAAACACTTGTGGAGACTTAGTAAAATTAGAGAGCTGCCTAAGCGTTTAAGAGTGGGCAAAGTCACGCTGCCCCATACCTGAGCCTATGATCAAACCGTTCTAGACAAGGAGTTCTTGTTAGAGCGAGGGACCCTCTGGTCCCAACTTAAAATTTAAGCTCAGATTCACTTATATTATTGCAAGTGTTTTTCTGTTGATTACATTGGTGATGATGAAGTGTCTTTGCTAGACAGGGGACTAAAAAAGTTAGATTTCTAAGAATAATCCCCCCTCTCTGTGAAAATGGAACAGTCCAGCAATGTTGGGGATGGGGTGGGGATGAAACAGTCCAGGGGCGGTGAGAGCATTCCCAGACCAAACTCCCTGCGCAAGGAGGGTATGGGGTTTCAAATTAGAGTAAAGCAAAAGACAAATCTCTCATGTGAAAATAGACTTGCCTTAATAGAGATTTCTTAAATGTAATGAATGAAAAAAAAAAGAAAAAATTAAAATTGTTACACTCAAATTCCAATTAACCACTTCTACTTTTACATTTTACATATTAATGACATAAATTATGAAGGTGTTTCAAGAATTTTTCCTCAATATGAAGCATTAAGTATAAAGGAAGGATTGTAACACATAACCAGTGGGAGAGCTCTCATTCTAGTGGATGAAATTGAAGATGCAAAGACATAATGTGTCTTAGTTAGGGCTTCTATTGCTGCAACAAAACACCATGACCAAAAGCAAGCTGGGGAGGAAAGGGTTTCTTCAGCTTACACTTCCACACTGCTGTTCATCACCAAAGGAAGTCAGGACAGGAACTCAAGCAGGGAAGGAACCTGGAGATAGGAGCTGATTCAGAGCCACGGAGGAGTGCCAGCCACTTGCTTCCATGACTTGCTCAGCATGCTTTCTTACTGAACCCAGAACTGTCAACCCAGGGATGGCACCATCAACAATGGGCTGGACCCTCTCCCATTGATGACTAATTGAGAAAACGCCTTCCAGCTGGGTCTCAAGGAGGCATTTCCTCAACTGAGGCTCCTTCCTCTCTGATGACTCTAGCTTGTGTCAAGTTGACACACAAAACCAGCCAGCACAACATGCTACCATGTATTTTACACAAAATGTTCAAAACAACAACAAATAACACGGGAAGTACATTTTTTCACCACCACCCCCATTTTAGTTTACAATACATAGACGTCGCTTCTAAAATCAAAAAGGTATAAAAGTAAAAGCAAAACCACACAAAAATCTCAAAGATAGCTTCTTCTATAATGCTGCCTACCACTTTTCTAGCTATCTTATCACACACACGTATACACAGGGTTTTGTATGACTGTATCAAGTCAGATGCACACTGTTTTATACACCGAGTTTAGAGAAATAATACGTTGTAAACATCCAATGTCTTTAATGGCAGGTCTGTTCTTTTTATGTGGTTGTGCAGTCTAATTGAGCAATAAATTATTAAATCAGTCACTGTTAAAGGACAGATGGTCTCCAAAGCTTCCACCAGCAGAAAGTGGTGCTATAGACACAGCCCATGTATCCATCTTTGAGTGCGTTTTGTAGTTACAGACTAAGAATACAACCCTAGGAGAGAAATCACTAGATCAAAAGGGTGGGTCTGCTTTTAAATTGGTACCTATTTTTAAACTCTTCCCTTCGGAAACATAAATTTGCAATTCCACAAAGCCTAAATGTAAGTCTGTAACTCATGTGTTGTAGTCCCAGCAGAGGCTAGAAGAAAGTGGTGGATACCCTGGGACTGGACTTCCACACAGCTGTAACCTGCCATATGGGTGCTGGAAACTAAACCAGGATGCCCTCGAAGAGCAGCTAGTTCTCGTAAACTCTCAGCCGTTTCTCCCTGAAGGTCCATTCTTAATACACACTATTATAGCAAGTCCTTTTCATCTTTGGTAAGTCAAAGAGATTTTCTTCCCTCCCTCCCTTCCTCCCTCCCTCCTTCCTTTCCTTCTTTGCTTTTCCTTTACTATTAAGTTGAAAATCTTTTGTTATACTTACTGTCCATTTTTCCAGTTCATCTTCTGATGTTTATGTCACTAACCTAGTTTTTTTGTGTCAGATTTCTACCTTACAATTTTAAGAATTCTATATTGTGAATGTTACATTTTTGTTTATAGTCACAAGTATAAACATCTTTCTCAATTTATTTCTACTTCAATTTTATTGAATATTTTAAATACTTATTTAAAATTATCCAATGTGTTTGTTTATAAGCCTTACTATTTGATTATATGTTTTTCTTTTTAAATTTTCATTATGTTTATTTATGGGCTGGGGAGCATGCAGAGGCCTGAGTGCCAGGACACATATGGTGCTCAGAAGACAGCTTGCAGAAATCTGTCCTCTCCTCCTACCACATGGGTCCCAAAGACTGAACTCAGATCACCAAGCTTGGCCGTCAGTGCCTTTATCCACTAAGCCATCTTGCCAGCCCCAGAATTACATTTTTTTTTTTTCAAATGTAGGAAGACAGCGAATAGCCAGGCATGGTGGTACACACTTTTCATCCCAGAACTCAGGAAGCAGAGGCAGGCAGATCTCTGTGAATCTGAGGCCAATCTGGTCTACAGACCAGGTTCCAGACCAGCCAGGGCTACATGGTGAGACCCCATCTCAAACAAACAAACAAACAACAATTACCTCAAAAAATGAATATAATGAGTGATAAAATAGATCCCTGTGGTGATTTGAAAGAAAATGGCCCCTAAAGGGAATGGCAGTATTAGGAGTTGTGGTTTTGTTAAGTAGGTGTAGCCTTGTTGAAGGGAGTGCGTCATTGTGGGGGCAGGTTTCGAGGTCTCTTGTTCAAGCATCTCTCATTCTGCTTCCTGTTGCCTACATATCAACATACTCCTTCTCCAGCACCATGTTCTGCCTGCACACTGTCGCGATCCCTGCCATCATGAAAATGGACTACACCTCTGAAACTGTAAGCTGCCACCTCAATTAAATGTTTTCCTTTATAAGAGTCACTGTGGTCATGGTGTCTTCTCTTCCCAGCAATAGAAACCCTAACGAAGACTGTGCCCTTTCCTAAATTGTCAGCTCTATCAACTTCAGAGCTACATCATCAGTAGGTGATTTGATTTACTTATAATCTGCCCTCCCAAAAGTAGTTTATAGAATACTATCCATTAAAATTTCCTTAAGTTACAATCTAATTATGTTCTAACTAGAAAGCAACTGCACTTCAATCCCAGTCTAAAGTTGATTTTGAGTATTTTTTTTTTAAAAAAAGTGATATTATTGGAGCAAAGAATAGTTATGTAACTTTTGTGGCTTAGTACTATATTGTTCTCCAGATGGAGAAGACCATTAATATTGTGCATTCATCCTGTTTCAATTTTATCAGTTTGGACTTTGTAACTGTTGATATTGGTTATCAACTTGACAGGATTCGCGATCACAGACAAGCCTCTGTACATGCTTGTGAGGGATTGTCTAGATTAGATTGACTGAGGTGGGCAATCCACCTACAAGAGGCTAGCACTATTTTCTGGACTCGGGTCCTGGGACCTACATGAAAAGAAAGTGAGCTGAATACCAGCATCCGTCACTTCCTGCTTAGCAACTGCAGACACGATGTGACTGAGAGCTGCCTGTGAGCCGCCTCAGGTTCCTGCGGCCATGACTGCCCTGTGATGCTTGACTATAGTTTTGAGCTGTGAGTCAAAGCCCTTTCTCTCCCGGAAGTTGTTTTCGACGGGGTATTTTTGTCACAGCGATAGGAAAAGTAACTAAGACTGTATTTTGTTAGCTTAACAAATACAAAAGTTTATTATTTTTAAAATATATTTATTTGAATTTGTCTCATCTCAGGTTGCAATTTTCTGTGTATTTTGAATTAATTTAAAAAATCATAATAAAATTTGGCTCCTAGAGAGGTTACAAGGAAGAAAATTAATCATGATGAAATTTTCTTTATATTTTAGATATATTGTTTTTAGTTTTGGAGAACTAGAATAATTTCACTCTTTTAAAATGAAGAGAACATTCATTTTGAGCAGAAAAATAAAAATGCAAAATATAATTTCATGTCATAATTCTCAGATTCACTCCCCCTTCATCTTAACCATGATTTTCACTCTATAATGCAATTTAGAATTGGGCCCAAATTATACTTATTTTCCACACTGCTAGAATGATCTTTTAAGAATACAAGCTTGCCGGGCGGTGGTGGCTCATGCCTTTAATCCCAGCACTCAGGAGGCAGAGCTAGGCGGATCTCTGTGAGTTCTAGGCCAGCCTGGACTACAGAGTGAGTTCCAGGAAAGGCACAAAGCTACACAGAGAAACCCTGTCTCGAAAAACAAAAACAAAACAAAACAAAAAAAGAATACAAGCTTAAACTGCGTATGTAAGTCTCCAATTTTTAACACTACTTTTCTGAGCTTTCATATTCTGACATTTCTCCACTACTCCAGTGGGGGGCGCTACTCCTAATGTTGGCATTCTCTTATTTCAGTAAATCTGTGGATCTCTAGTGACTTATTTCTTCTGCCTAAAAGGTTTCTTTGCACAAATTTTACCCTAATAGGTCATCATCCTTTAGGCAAATCTTAAAATATTTTGTAGTTTGATGTCGGTGGGCAGAGAAAAACCTGTAACGCGAGTTGGCTATCAGATACCAAGACACAGGTAGAGAGGATCAGCTCTGGTGTGCAGCAGAGACGGATGACAAAGGTTTGTAGTAAACTGTCCCGTTTTGTGAAGAGTTAGAAAAGGGATGCTCAAAGACTCAAACAAACAAACAAGATAAGAAAAGGAAATGCTAATTAGAATGCTAATTATCCTGATTGGGTCAGTTTGTGTTTGCATGTGTTAAAATATGTATTGATTAATGTAAATATGTAAAAGTATTGATTAATACATAAAATCAATACTTGATAATACAAAATGGCAACAATCCAGAGCACACTTTAAGAAAAATGATAGAAAAACATGACTAATGTCTCATATAAATAGGGGGTCCTGAAACTTGGTTTCATAATAGAGCCACTTGCAGGTGTAAAAACCTGCCTCATCTCTCCTTGTTTTTAGTGTTGTTGGTTTAGCAGTACTATGCTCTAAGTAGGCTACAGCAATGCATTTTTCCTTAAGAACTGTGTTTAAGCTGGGCGGTGGTGGCGTACGCCTTTAATCCTAGCACTCGGGAGGCACAGGCAGGCAGATCTCTGTGAGTTCGAGGCCAGCCTGGTCTACAGAGTGAGTTCCAGGAAAGGAGCAAAGCTACACAGAGAAACCCTGTCTCAAAAAGCCAGAAAAAAAAAAAAAAAAAAAAAAAAAAAAAAAAAAAAAAGAAAGGAAACTCCATGTACCTGGTAGTTTCTTGGATTAGCCTGGGAGCAAAATCATAGGATCAGCATCATTTTTCTATATAATTATGAAATACCTTTGTTATTTTACTTTTCAATTTCTTTGTAAGCAAGTGGCTATCTATTCACTTTAGCAGACCAAAGTAAAATAAGCTTTCATCTTGAGATTCTTTGAGACTAACAAAAATTTTAAACTATTTTTTATGATGGTGAATTTATTTATTTGAAAAAAATTTATTGAACACCTAACTAAATTTTTTGATGAACTGCTTGAAAAGCTGAGGATGCAGTGATGATCACTGTGGAGTTTGTAGTCTAGTGAGGGAATAAATAAATAAGTATTTAGTATCTGAGTGTGGTAAGTGCAATCAAAGCATGGAAGATGGCGAATAACAGCAAAGAGTCAGGACAAGCCCTGCCTGTGGAGGGGTGTCAGGGGATGAGGGTAAGTCATGTGACATCCAGGGAGCAGCTTTCTATGCAGAAAGAAAGCAGGACAGAGGCTGAGGTCAGTAGGGGCTCTACATGCTGAAGGAATCAGCAAGAAGGCAGTTTTGTTTCTAGAAGAATGAACAAATTCCAACTTTGTTCTCGTGGAACTTACATAATACCAGGTGGAAAAAGACCCACAAAACGAATAAACCATCACATCAAGACACGCCCCTCGGGGTTGAATACTGTGAAAGGGGTGGGTCTGGAGAAGGAGAGAGAGAGAGAGAGAGAGAATGTGTGCTATTTCAGATAAGGTGGTAAAAGAAGTACAAGAAACGATTTTAAATGGAACGTTGAATAAAGTGAAGAATGAAACCATGCAGGTACTGGTGAAGAGTGTCACAGCCAGACGGCGAGTACAGAGGCCTAGAAGGAGGAAGCTGGTGGCAGGTTAGGTTAGATGCCTCACTGGGGACAGTAGTGCATGGGGCTTTTGTGTGTTCAGATTTATCCTCAGTGAGATGGTGTGCGTCCATCTTTATAAGTCTGCATTTCTAGATTAATTCAAGGACCACTCTGAACCCATAGATTTAAAAAAAAAAAAAAAAAAAAACATTGCGGAGAAGCACGTCAGATCCAAACTCAAGCCCTCTGCGGCATGGTAGTTGGGTTGACCACCTCAGGAGAGAAGCGCCTTGATTGCATGATATAATCCCTAAAAGCCATTTTGATAGCTTTTGTTTCCTGAATCCACAAAGAGATAAGAAGTGAAACAGGCCAGAAAACAGAAGAAGGAAAGAAGACTAGAGGGGGAAAGGAAATGGTATAATTAACTGCATAAATACAGAAGCCAGAACCGGCAGAAATGATAAAAGCTGCGGGCGTGAGTGACAGAAGGGACCCCTTAAAGAGTGAGCGGAAGGCAGTCCCACAGCTCGCTTACTCTGGAGCTCCTGAAAATGGATGGCTGCTTGAAGAGAAACTACTTCCAGGTGAGAGGGCACAAAATGTCACCTGTACTTCAGTTCCCACCTCCAGGTTCCTGCCCTGCTCCCCTCGTCGATGGACCGTGATGGGGGACTGTAAACTGAAATAAATCCTTCTCTCCCCAAGCTGCTTTTAGTCACGTTTTATCACAGCAATAAATACCCTAACTAAGACAAAGTGTGTATATGGTTAAAGTATATGATATACTTGGATGAGTGTGTGAAATATCTTTATGAAACCCATAACTATATACAATGAACACACACACACACAGGGCCCAACAGGGTGTCGTGTTTTTCTCCGCACATCTAAGCTGGAACCAGGCTGGAGAGGCATTGACATTTGGCCTTAGCGGATCTCAGCCCATAGCACGTCAAAGAAAGAGACTGTGCTTCACCAGGAAGGAAAAACAGCGAGGGCTGAACACAATTTGAAATCAGTGTGATAACAGCGACAATAACTTTAATACTTAAAATACATCATGTTCTGAACTAAATGCTTTACATACATTGGCTCCCTCAATCCTTAAAACTATAAGATAATTGCTATTGTTTTTCTCTACTATGCAGAAAAGGACGTTAAGCCTCAGAAAGACTAAATACCTGGTTGGAGAATCATCAAGCTAAAAGAAATAGAACTGAAAATTTATTTGCAATTACCTTACTGTGCTCACTGGTCTCTTAGATAGTTTGTATCATTTTGTTATCCAGGAGAGACAGAAATTTCCAAATTTGTGTGTTCCTCATCACCCCATCCTCACCACGGGTTGGGGCAAGTATGAGAAACATGATCATTGAGCGAGGCTGGTAAAGACCATTGAGCCTAAAATATATCTCCTTGCTTGCGAGAATATGAACAGATCGTAGGTAACAAATTCAACGAGTGGTGTGGTTTGAGTGAGGATGGCCCCCAGAGGCTCACACATTTGAATTCTCGGTGTAACTGTCTGAGAAAGATTAGGAGGTGAGGCCTTGTTGGAGGATGTGTGTACTGGGAGTAGGCTTTGAGGATTTAAAAGCCCGTATCATTCCCAGCTAGTTCCCAGCTCTTTGCATCATGCCTGTGGATCAGATGTAAGCTCGCAGCTACTGCTCCAACACCACGCCTGCCTGCCTGCTACCAAGCTTCTCTCCATGATGGTCACAAAGTAACCCTCGGAAACTGTATGAAAACCCCAACTAAATGCTTCCTTCTGTAAGCTGCCTTGGTCATCGTGTCTCTCCCTGGAAACGGTAACTAAGACAACTGGTTTCATAATTGGGGCTGCTGAGGTGGCTCAGTGGTCCTCGGCAGAGGACCTGGATTTGGTTCCCGTCACTATCACGGTAGCTCACAATCTTCTGTAACTCCAACTTCAGGGATTCTGATGCCTTCCTTCTCCTGGCCTCTTTGGGTACCAGTTGTACATGTGGTACACTACATGTGAGGAAAACACTCACCCAAATCTTAAATTTAAAATACACGCAGATGCGCGCGCACACACACACACACACACACACACACACTGTCACAAAAAACCAAAAAAAAAAAAAAAAAAATCTGAACCCAACCAGATACAGGTAAGTGCCCAGGATTGTTTTCCAAGAAGGACTGATTACGTTCCGAGGAATTTACTTACCCTGTCTGAATACCAGTTATATTACTACCTCCTGTGGGCTATACTGGATTAAAGTGGGGACATGGGTGGGGTGCACAGGAGGAACTGGAAGGGAGAGAGGGAAGAATGGAAATGATGTAAATACCGTACTAATGTATGGAATTATAAAAAATAACAATAGATATAAAAATGTGACATCAACAATTTGAAAGTGCCAGACCTATTGTAAAATGCTCAGGAATATAAATGAAAAAAAAAACAGATTAAATGGTATAGCATTGATTCCTCACTTACAACTTCAGATTTCCCAACTTTTCTCTGCTTAATTCTTTGTACGCTGGTCCAGAATATTGCTTTTGGTTCTGGACCTGAGGCAGTCCCTAAGAATTTCTTTTCTCTCTGGCAAACTCAAGTACTTACTTCAGGCAAGACAGGAGAAATTCTGACCTTGAGAACAGAGCCTCTGAGTTCTCAACAGGACTTGTTTTCAAAATCTAGTTATAGAAAATTTGAGTATTGTTTTGCCTTTAAAAGCACAGGGCTCTTCCATTATTTTGTGAAAATTCTAATAAAAATTCAATAAGACAAATTAGTAATTTTCAAAAATGAATAATAATAATAAACCCTCCACAATACAATAACCTCTAAATAAAAGTAATGTTAACAGTCAGGTATATACATATAGACATAACTTGAACAAGGGAGTCTGGTCCTTTCTAAGGATTTTTTTTTTTTCCTGAATCGGAACCTCAGCTTTTAAAGAAAGTTGATCATCTCAACTGATCAGCTGACTTATATTAAGGACAGATGTGTAAGGACAATTTACTAGTTGCCTAGAAAGTGATGAATGCAAAAGTGGGAGAGATGTCATCTGGCAACTCATTAAAGCATTCCCAAATAAGTGATAACAGTAGTTAAGTATATGAGTTAATTTAATAATAACAAGTATAATGGATCTGTGGGGAAGGACAATATGAAGAGATGAAGTGTCTCATGATATAACAAAACACATGTATTCATTTGTTGGATGTTTATTGAGCACCATACATGACAGCTACCCAGAGAGCAATGCACCATGCACGTGGTCATGTAGACTATAATGTAATTGCTTAGTACACAATGTATACCACTGTTTGTAATGATCTTGCAATAAAGATATGATAGTGAGCCGGGTGGTGGTGCACGCCTTTAATCCCAGCACTTGGGAGGCAGAGGCAGGTGGATCTCTGTGAATTCAAGACCAGCCTGCAGCCTGGTCTACAGAGTGAGTTCCAGGACAGCCAGGGCTACACAGAGAAACCCTGTCTCAAACAAAACAAAACAAAAGATATGATAGTGAATAGGTTCCTGCTCATGTGGTTTATACTAGAAAAAAAGCATGAGGAGAATACTAATAGGCATGTAAAAATAAGGCACTCTTACAGTGATAATGGTTGTGAAAGCAATTAAGTAAAGTGACAGACAGAGTGGTATGGGGTGGAGGATGGGAGCAGTATCACAGAGAGTGACTGGAGAAAGTCTCTCTAAAGAAAGTACCAATCATGGAAAGACTTCAAAGACGAGTAGTGGGAAGCTTCTATTTGGGCACGAGTGTGCCAATCATTCCAGTGTGTCAGTGGGTCACAAGGAAATGGTAGGACATTGAGATCAGAGAGAGAAACAGCGAGTAGGTTAGACAGCTTGTATCTTATTCTAAAACAAATGTCATATTTAATAGCAGATAGTCAGAGTTGGGTGTTTCTCGTTGGAGTAAAAATTTAAGCAAACAAAAACTCTAGCAAAAGAATATTGGATATACGATGTTGAAGGAGCTTGGTTAGAAATCTTGGAGCCAAGGATAAACTGAAATAACTGTCACTCATAAGGATGCCATTGAATGTTGCTCGAATCCTAATTGGTCCTATAATAAAAACCCGGAGCCAGATACTGGGATAAATACTGAAAGATCAGAGGAAACAAGCCACAGCCACTTCTCACCTTGCTAACTCCTCAGCTGATCCTGTCTCCACGAATCCTTAGACTGAATGCTTCTGAGTCCTCAGCCGAAAGGGCCTGAGTGCCTGTCTCCTTCCGCCTTATATTCCTTCTCTGTCCAGCCATATGGCTTCCTGTCTCAACATTCCTAGTGCTGGGATGAAAGGGGTGTGACTCCCAAGTACTAGGGTTAAAGGTGTGTGCCACCACTGCCTGGCTCTGATTCTTTTTTAGACTGGATTAATCTCATGTAATCCAGGGTGGCTTTGAATTCACAGAGATACAGACGGATCTCTGCCTCCTGAGTGCTAGGATTAAAGGTGTGTGCCATCACTGCCTGAGCTTTGTGGTTAACTCTGTGGCTTGCTCTGCCCTCTGATCTTCAGGCAAACTGTTAAGAGTATAAACAAAATATCACACAAGTGAAGGCCTCAGAAAAAGTCAGATCTGCTAATAACGTGGACATCTAGAAGGCTGGTGAATAGTTACACTGTCCTATTTGCAGTTCTTTTGATTTGCTTGGATTGAAAAGAAATTAAGAATGTCCTTATTATCGCCATTCTCCTTATCGTTTTGGTAACCCTAATCAGGTATAGTTACACAGGTTCTCTAGTTTTCTTGCATTCTTTTCTAGGTGTGAAAATTAATGCTCTCCAACATGCCCCCTACCCCTCACCATCTCTGAAACCTTTCACTTCATAAGGGAGTAGATAAGAAGGTGAACTGCATGCCCTGACATCAGGACATCTCTGGGATCCTGATACTCCTCTCGCCTTAACACTTAGTGAGGTGTGTTTTGGTAACTTAGCGATTGTTCTACTGTGCTTTTCTGTTGCTATGGTCAAACCCTTATGAACAACAGCCTAGGCTGTTCATGGTCCACCAGTGAGGGAAACCAGAGCAGAAGCTGTAGGTGGGAACTGAAGCAGAGACCATGCAGGAACACTGCTTATTGAATTGCTTTTTCATGGTTGTTCAGCTTGCTGTCGTAGTCAGCCTAGGACCACTTGCACAGGGCTGGCACTGCCTGTAATGGGCTGAACCAAGCCAGGAACTCAAGGCAGAAACCTGGAGGCAAGGACCGAAACAAAGACCATGCAGGAACACTACTTGGTGGCTCGCTCCCCGTGGCTTGCTTAGCTTGCTTTCTTACACAACCCAGGACCACCTGCCTGGGAGTGGTGTCACCCACATCTGGCTGGACCCTTTCACATCAATCACTAACCAAGAAAATGCCCCCACAGACATGCCCACAGACCAATCTGATGGAGGTTGGGTTTCCCTCTGCCCTGGTGACCCTGGTTTGTGTCAAGATGACAAAAACTAATCAGGAAACTAATGTCTAAAACATTATCTCAACACGTGATAAAAAATTTTAACATTAACGAGATTTTTGCATTATTTTATGTCTTCAAATTCCAATGTTTGTTTTATACTTACAAACCTGCCTCATTCAGGCTAAACACAAGTGGACAGAGACAGCCATGTAGTTCCAGATCTTACTTTCATTGATTCTCAAGAGCTGGAGAGTCAACCTGCTTTGCTCTGTAGTGACTGTGCCATGCTAGTACCTTCTATTGGCTCGGCCAAGACTTCCTGATCCTTGACATTTTCAAACCTGTAACTCCAGAATTGCTGATTCCAGAAAGGGGTGCTTCACCTGGCTCTCAACCCTGTTTCCTGTCCAACACAGTCCTGATGTTACCTATTTGGTGTGGCACTCAGTGATTATTTAGACTTCTCTGCATTCAACGAAGTGAATTCCATTTTACAGAAAAGTACTAAGTGGAAGAAGATCCTGAGTTCTCCGCAGCATATTTAAATCTACATGTGGGAAACAGCTGTCCAGAAGGAAAGACTCGCCTAGCTATTACATCTACTCCTGGCTATTTACTGCTTGCTGCCAGAGTACCCAGGAGAAAACCATTTTTTTAATATGAGAAAGGAAATATTATCTTGGTCTTCCTCTTTAGTTTTTGGTGAAAATTAATCATTTTTGCCGAAAGCCAATGTTTGGTTCATTGTTTCAGGTAGGCTGAGGACAATGCCATGTGCTCAGGAAGACGGGGGCCAGACAGAACGCACGGGGATGGTTTTCTAAGATCACCTCACCCTCTCCTCCCCAGCTACCTTGGAAACCTCAACAGCTTTTTAACTTTTCTATTTGACTTTTGAGGGCAAACTGCAAGTGTGTTCTCACAGGCTGAATCTAGCCTTGAAGATACATCTGGTTGGCTCACCTGGTGCTAAAAGTTCTTTTGAGAAAAGGCTTTGAAACTGGGAACTTTCTTTGATACAACCATTCATCTTTGCAGCTTCCTTTAAAAAAAATCACACACTGATCCACACTGAGAGATCGTCTTCCATTGTATCCTGTGGCTAAGCTGGCCTTCAGAGGGGCTAAGCATTTTCTATTGGGATACAGTTGATTACCCATGGCCTGTTTGTTTTATGTAGTAGATATGTCTGCTCTTATCTGAACATTGGAGCTTTGCAAATCTCTATAACACAATGCAACACTCTGTCCTTTGTCTTCTATCCATTTCTGGGGGCCAGGAATCTCTTATTTTCTTCTTAGTTCTTGGGTTTTTCTGATGATTAAGGTGAGGTAGAACAGTGGTGGAAAGCTAGTTAAGTGGTTTGGGTACTGGTTAAGTGTTTATGGACTAGACATTGTTGATGTATTTATTGTATGTATGTATTGTATATAGTTATTGCACTTTATATAGTTTTTCTTATATTAGTTGTAACCTTTTTTATTTTAGACAAAGGGGGAAATGTGGTGATATTTTGTTTGTGCTCTAACAAATAAAGTTTTCTTGGAGATCAGAGTGCAGAGCTAGCCACTAGTTAACCATAGAGGCCAGGCAGTGGTGGCACACACCTTTAGTCCTAGCACTTGGGATCTCATGCCTTTGATCCCAGTACTTGAGAGGCACATGCCTTTAATTCCAGCACTAGGGGGGTGGAGACAGAAAATGATATGACTGGGCAGAGAGAGGAATATAAGGTGGGAGGAGACAGGAGCTCAACCCTCCCACTTCCATCTGAGGATTTATCCTGATATCTGATTCTGGGTTTTTATTATTAAGACCAATTAGAATTCATATAGTTAAGTCCCAACTGCAACTCAACCTACTGGCCACCATTGAATGTAGAATGGTAGAGCAAGAAAGGGGGTCATGATCAGAGCTGCCTGTAGGGATGATGTGGGTGGGGGCATGTGGGAAATGACCTGGAAGAACTTTCTTTTTGGATATTTTGATCAAGTATGCTTGAGCTGAGGACACTTTGGTGAGAATCTGAAATATGTGTAAAGCTTGTACTGCTACAGGAAATAATAAAATGAAAGTGACAATAACACTTCCTGTAAGTGAATGACCATTGGATTGTTTCCAGAACCTGTTTGTCAGATGGCTTATTGCAGTAATCTGGGATTTTACCACTTTCTGCAGAAATATAAAAACATGACTCACCTTTTTACAACTCACTCACATGAAAGTCTACACTGGATAATATACTGCATAGTGTTTGGCTTTATCTTCCACCTTAGAGCCACACAAGATATTTAGATGTGTTGACGAAAGAAATACCAACCATATGAAATATGCTTGTCACTTTTTTGTTTTGCTTTATTCCCACAGCACCATAAGAGAATGCCTACAATGTGGAATAATAGAAATAACAGACTAATGCCAGAGTAAGATGAATAGCTGTGCTTAATGACATAAAGCAAAATGACAAAAAGTGAATTTAACACTATCTGATAAACTGTTCGCATTTTGAAATTTATTATTTCAAAATTTAAATCTACACAACTATTTGGAAAGTCTTTGCTTTCAACTGCCATTGAGTCTCATTAAATTTTATGATTATCCTGCCTCAGCCTTCCAAGTGCTGGAACTAGAAAGGGATCAGTGAAGACACGTTTGCCAGGTATGCCAGTAGTAATGGTTTATTAATGTTTTATCTAATAATGTTCGACACAATTAAACTGCTTGTAAGGCAAAGGCTGATTATATGTAGAGTCTAGTATTGAAATCAAATTAGTCTTATGATGACAAAAATCCATCGACGTCTGGATTTTGCCAACAGCCTTAATTGTACTGTTTCACCTGGTTTGGGGGCAGCAGTAGTGACATGATGAAAAATAGATGTGTGAATTAGCATTTGTTTTATGTTAGGTGGGCTGGATTGATTAATGTAGTAGAATGGAGAAAGGAACGGGGGAA